ACTCTGTCCTCTAGGGGCGCTGTGAGTCGGAATGGACTCCACGGCAGTGGGTGTGGTTTGGGCTTTGCTTCTGTGAAGACTGAAAGCCTTGGAGACCCTGTGGGGCAGTTCCACTCTGTCCTCTAGGGGTGCTGTGAGTCAGAATCGACTCCATGGCAGTGGGTGTGGTTTGGGCTTTGCTTCTGTGAAGATTGACAGCCTTGGAAACTATGGTGCAGTTCCACTCTGTCCTCTAGGGGCGCTGTGAGTCAGACTCAATTAGGCAGCCATGGGTTTGGTTTCAGTTTATTTAAAAATCAGTAGCTTAGTGTCTGTTTTACCATCTGCTCCGTATTTCTAGCAGCCCGATCAACGCCAAGAAAACCAGCAGTGCCAGCAGCGGCGACAACTACGTCACCTTGTGGAGGAATTACCTCATCCTCTGCTTTGGAGTTGCCAAGCCCAGCATCATGAGCCCCGGTCACTTACGAGCCTCGACTGCAGAAATTGTGGCCACCACGCCAGATGGCACAGTGAGCTATGATAACAAGGTGACGTGGCGGGCTTCAGCAGAGTGACTGTGGGAGGTTATCTTTAGCTTATTGGTCTAGCATTCCCAGCGGACATAGCACTGCCGTCTGGATGGTCAGGCCTCAGATTTTCCTCCTAGTCATTTCTAAACCCCACTGAAAGCTGGTGTGAACCCTGGCGAGCAGGAGCTGAAGATGACGAGAACTTACAAAACTTGCTTCAGACCCTCAAGGCCCTTGTATTTATTTATTAAAATCCCTTGAGGTGTGGTCCGGGTCCTGCATGCCACATCTCTCTCACGCCTCACCCAGCAGGCACCTGTGAACCTTGCCTTGATTAGACAGCTTGAAAGTTGAATACAGCTTTGCAGGTGTAGATGGTTCCTGTAAAGAAGGCTGTCAGTATTGCAAATATTCTTTTGAATTTGTCTCCCAGTGACATAATGTGTCCATTGTGCGGTATTCCATTTGTGGTGTTTTGGTTAGACCCCTGAAATGAAACAGTGCTTTGGGGTGGGGTCCAGCGCTTTGTAGCCGTGATAACCTTCATTTGGTTAAGGCTCTGTTACCACGCCACCTCCGTTCCACTTGTCACCTTGTTTCAGGCCATAGGCACCCCATCGGTGGCTGTCCTGTTGAAGCAGCTGGTGCCTCTGATGAGACTGGAGAGTATCGAAATTACAGAGTCCTTGGTGTTGGGATTTGGACGAACGAATTCCCTCGTTTTCAGGTACGGGGCCTGCAATGTGTTGTTACGAATACGGGTCAACAGCATGGTTCATAATTCCTTTCTTGAACTCGAGCTTTTGTTTGACTGTTGGTGGCTCCCTGGGTGGCGGAGGGGCTTCCTGTGGTTTTCAGTATTCCTTGGTTGATGGGCATGTCCCAGCATTCCTTGCAACTGCCTTGCTTTTCATTTTTAGTCACTGCAAGTTAGATATTACTCCTTAAAGTCTGTCCTTCTTGCAAGTTCTGTTTTAGATGCAATAGGAGCCCTGATAGCTCAGTTGTTAAGGGCTCAGCCGCGAACTGAAAAGTCAGTGGTTTGACCCCCCGGTGGCTCCACGGAAGGAAGACGTGGTGAACTTCCGTGAAGATGACGGCCCAGGAAACCCTGTGGGGCCGTTCTGGTCTGTCGCATGGAGTTGCCATGAGTCCGAATGCACTCTGTGCCTCCAACAACAACAGAATACGTGAAATTCGATGAAATAATTCGGTGTCCAAGGCCCGTAGCCAGACTGTTCAGAGGCCACAGTAGTCCAGGTAGTTACAGTTTTTGCTGAGCAGCCACTTTGAATTCTCAAGCGTTCACCAGGATGGAACTCTCTTCCAGGTGGTCTCCTTGACAGTGGAAAAGATAGGACCAGCATGCCTGGCAGGCTTTATTCCTTATTCATTGCAAATCCTTTATTAAATAATATTCTGTCTGAGGCAGTACCAAAGTCTTGTGAAAGGGGTCTTGTACAGTGCCTCTGATGATGTTAGCTAAGAGAAGAAAGCCTAGAAGGGCAACATCTTCACACTCTTATGTGATGGGAGCTCCTTGTGTAGACAGAAAAGGGAAAGCTCCAGGCCTCTGTGAGAAACTGCCCCCACTGCACCCTCCACCTTGCAGTTTAGTCGATTCTGACCCACAGCGCCCCTAGAGGACAGAGTGGACCTGCCCCACAGGGTCTCCAAGGCTGTCAATCTTAATAGAGGCAAAGCTTAAACCACACCCACTGCTATGCAGTCAATTCTGACCCACAGCGCCCCTAGAGGACAGAGTGGAACTGCCCCACAGGGTTTCC